GGTCCCAGCGGAAAAGAGGAGGCCAGTTGGTCCAGTTTTGATGGGTACGGGGAAGGGAATGTATTAGTAAGCACAGGGGAGAGGCTGCCAACAGGCACCTCAGAGGTGACAGGACAGGCTGAACCCCCCACCCTGACAGAAGGGAGCTTGAGAGCTCAGGGGTTCTCTGGGAATGTCACTGCTAAAATATATATCTACATATATATTAACCATTCGTGGGAGGGCAGGGGCAAGGCCTGGGGTGGGATCAGAGGATCTGGCGTGGCATCCCATAGCCAGTCATGCCTGCCTGAGATGCCCCGCGGTTGGTGCCCATCTGTAACCCGATCACGTTCTTGCCCTCTTGCAGCTGGTTGTCCGAAAAGTTCCGAGGATTCTCCTTGGATTTCCTGGGTGGTAAGGGAGTGGTGGTTAGAGGAGATCACAGGCTGCCCTAGTAAATCCCTTCCCTGGACAGAACACAGGCTTTGCTGTTGGCTCAAGGGCTGGTGCCAGCTCTGCCCTCGAGAGCCATAAGCTCTCTGAAGCCACTTCCTCACGTTTCCAAAGGGACAGTCACTTGCCATCCCAGAGGGTGTTGTGAGGATTAAGTGAGATGAGGAATTTTCTGAAAGTGCTTTGTAAAGGGCCAGCTGCTACTGAGATTAGTTATTTCCCAGGGACAGGACTGGGCAGAAACGATGCAGCTGCTGGACCCTGCGGCTGTCCCAGCAATACTTACTTAGGGAACCAATTGGGATCCCCAGAGAAGAGTCCATCATCCCGCGCTACTGCCAGCCCACCCAGATTCATCAGCGTCCGCTGCACACAGGCCATGTTCTTTCCTGGGAAGGAGAATGGGAATATGTCAGCCTCCACAGTGTTCTAGATGCCAGGATTCCACCTCTATTGCTAAGTCAGCAGGCCTGGCTTCCTAATTACTTTTACTCTTCATTTCCATACCCTTCTCCAATCCAGCCCCCAATATGACCAAGTGTTCCATGGAACACAAACACACCCCTCTTTCTCTTCAGGGAGCCAGAAAATAGTCCCTTCTCCCGGGTCAAGAGGGCCCAGCCCAATCTCTGGCCTCCTGGATGACAGGAGCCAGCCCCTGGCCCTGTCCCACCTTCCCAGAGGTCCACAGTTTGGAAGATGTCGGTGGTGTTAATGCCATAGCGCTCAGCTGCTTGCAGGAACTGAGAGATCTGCTCCATCTGCTTGAAGGCCATGGTGGAGGCCTGGATCTTCTTTACCGGGGCCTGCCCCTCGGGGTACAGTGCATTAATGAGCTCACATAGCACCTGGATGAGGACAGCAGAGGTGGAAAGGTGAGAATACGCCTACCTATGGCAGCTTAGCATGCACCACCCTCAGAACCAGAGACAATGAACCAGAGAGTGTCGTGTCTTGCCTGAAGACAGCTTGGACTCTTTCACTAGAGTAAGCCTCACAGTCCTTCTTGCCAGCCTCCTGCCTCCGAGCCCAGAGTGAAAAGCCAGTGTTTAGTCTTTCCTTGCTAATACACCCTCCCACAGTTCTTTCCTTATTTTCTTCCTCAGTGTCACCTCAGCCTTCCACTGCCTGGGAGACACATTCACCCTTACCCTCCACTCCACGGGAAGGGAGGGAAGCATGGGCCCTCTCACATCCTTGACAAAGATCTTCAGGCTGAGGAAGAGGCTGGGACATGTGTGCCCTCAGTCTTCCCCTCTTCAGGTTAAACAATCCCCAGTCCACTGGACCTAGTCCTGCTCTCCCTGCACTTCCAAGCCAGTGGGGCCTGGCTCTCACCGTGCCATCCTTGAGCCAGTTCTGGAAGTTCTCGCGTCCAGGCTGGGGCCGGCCCACATCCTTTCGGCACTGGGTGGTGATCCACTGGATCAGGATCTGCTCCAGATCTGCATCATACTGTTTCTCAATCTTCTGCTGCACCTCCCGGCTCAGGCCATATGCAGGTCCCCTGTTAGCCATTCCAGTGCGTGGTGGTGCTAGAGAGAGGACACACCCAGGCCTTTGGTCAACACCTTGCAGCCTGGAGAGTGGGGAATTCAGGAATTCTGCCTGCAGGGATACACACCATTTCCCCCAGGGTGAGCCCCAAGGATGAGGCCCAGAACTGTTAACAAACGCAACCCTGCTCTTTATAGCCCTGGGAAAGAGAATGATTTGGGGAGAGGAGGAGGAATGTGGAACAGCTTGGGAAACTGGTTGGATCTACCCTCCCTCAACCTCTGGGTTTTCTTTGCCTTTTTTTTTTTTTTTTAAACCATCTAGGTTGGTGCAAACCACTGGATTTTAACTGAGCACCTACTGTTTGTGCTAGGGATTGTGAAAGAGATAGAAGCCCTTGGTCCTCCAGTGCCCACAGTGCCATCAGGGAGACACAGTGAGTACATATGAACAGGTAAAGATTGTACACAAATACTGAAGTGCACAGTTCAGATCACATGTTGTAGCAGCTACAAGAAGCAGATGGGCAGAAGCAGCCCGGGAAGGCTTTCTGGAAGAGATAGGCCTGAATAGGTCCTTAAGGATTTCAGCAAGCAAAATGAATTTCCTATGAGAAACCAGACAATAAAAACAAATTCTACTTTCCCTTCTAGGAGCTATGATAGGCAGAATCATAGCCCCCCAAAAGCTGTCCATGTCGTAATTCCCAGAACCTGTGGATCTGTTACCTCGTATGACAAAAAGGGACTTCGTGGATGTGACTAAGATCTCGAGATGGAGAGATTATCCTGGATCATCCAAATGAGCCCAGTGTAATCACAAGGGTCCTTACTAACTGAAAGTGGGAGACAGGTGAGTCAGAGTGGGAGAAGTAACAACAAAAAATGGAAGCAGAAGTTGGAGTCACACAGGGCCATGAACCAAGCAATGCAGGTGGCCTCCAGAAGCCAGAAAAGGGAAGGAAATGGATTCGCCCCAAGACCCCCAGAAGGAACACAGCCCTGCCAACACCTGCATTTTAGCCAGTGAGAACCCTGTTGAAGTCTGTAGAACTGTAAGATGCTGTATTTGTGTTGCTTTAAATCACTAAGCTTGCAGCAATTTGTTACAGCAGAAATAGGAAACTAATACAGGAGCTCTGGGTGATATTTTTGGGGAAACCTGGGAAGAGAAGGCAAGACGGGGAAATACACAGGAGGGTTTCTTTAACTTCGTTGGAGGACCTTGATTAGCAAGAACTGGGTGGTTTCCCGACCAATGGCCTGAGTTGGCCAACCTCACTGTGGCAGTGTGTTCCCAACCAACACTCACCACCTGGGTCTGACACTCAGAGGCTGAGCAAGACCCGGGCATGCTATGGATGCCAAGGGGAGCCAAGAACCGAGAACGGTCCCCATTTTCTGTCCCACCCCCACCCTGGTTTGGCTTTTCTCTCTTCTCCGAAACAGAGCTAGCTGTCAGGCTGCTCACGACAGGGGACCCCCAGGGCAGACATCTGTGTTCAAGGGGAGGAAAGAGAGCCACCCCTTCTAACCACATCTGGCTCCAGGCCAGGTTGGCCTTCAGGGATGAAGTCACTCTGGCTCCCCCTCTCCCACACATCCAGGTTAAACAATCCCACCACTCCCGCTCAGTGGGCCTCAGGACTCTGCGAAATACAAGGGGACCAGCCTGCCTCAAACCCTCAACCCCTCTCAGCTGCAGAGGCTGTGTCTCAGGCCAGTCCCTCCCATCCTGACTCCAACATGGCTGCTTATCAAGCTGCCCATTTCCGGCAGATCCTCCCCTAAATCAGTTATTTTTAAACCTCATTCAGAGCAACCCGCCCCCTCCACTTCCCCCAGCCCGAAAGCTGGGCCAGATAAATGTCAGTCTGGGCCCGGACCCACAGCACCAGGCACACACACCATCAGCTGGGGGAAGGCAGGAGGGGTGGAGTGGCTGAGTTCTGAGGAGAAAGCAAGACAAGCATTCCCGCCCTCCCCAGCGGCCACTCCGCCACAGAAACCTCTAACCTCTGATGCACAGGGGAATGGCTGGAAGACAGGTAGGAGGAGGAAGGGGCTAAGAGCTACTACCACTAGTAAGCCCCCTCTCCGCAGCCCAGTTCCAGACCTCTCTCCTGGAACCTCTCCCTGAGGCTCGGGGATCACCATGGCACAGGTAAAGAAAGGGCAGGAGAATGATTAACCTAGACACTGGGATTAAGAACAGACAGAACGGCCTGAAGCCAGACCCTTCCAGTGCCCCCCAACCCCCAAGGCAGGACAAACTTGGCCTCCCAGACCCACCACTGGGTGGAAAGTGGATGCTGAGGAACCCCCTCCACCACCCAACTCTGGGGCCTGGACACAGCTGACAGGGTAGCGGCCTCCAGCTGCAGTGTATCTGCTCCACTCTGGGGCCATTGCCCTCAAGCTCTGAGGTGCCAGAGCCATAGGGCGGAGTCCTGAGAAGGGGCAGTTCCAACCAGGCCAGGCCTGGCCAGCAGCTGTTTCTCCTCCCCAACCCCACAGGCAGGCAGGAGCTGATGGGCTGCGGCTGCTGGAGCTGGGAAGGCCCACCCTAGGGACACCCAGGGGACCTGCCCCTGCCCTCCCATAAAGAAAACAGTAAGCAAGTTGCCTACCAGGGTGAGAAGAGATATGCCCAGCTGGAAGACAGGTGTGGGGGACCCCCAGAGCTGGGGACCCCAAAGGAAGGTGATAGCTGAACAATCTGGGGGATAGGCTGGCAGCGAGCAACCTAAACCCTAGCGCTACTCCAGCTGTGAGAACAACGCTCACCCTCACCCTGGAGTTACATACAATAGGCGGGAAACGGGAGGGGCCACGCCAGGCACTCGGCCCCACCCAGACCCTAGGCTGGAAGCTTACCTCACCAAAGCCAAAGCCAAAGCCAAAGAAAAGGCGGACATGGGTGGGGGCGGGGAGGACTTCAGGGTTCTTGGCTAGGGTGTTTAACTGGGAAGACAAAGGGACTCTCCATCCACCGTGCAGATGGGACCCAGGAGAACTTCCCAACTCAGATTTGGGGCAGGGACTGTTCTCAAAGAGCAGCACAGTGAGGGCACCAGCTGACAGAGCGAGGTGCCACAAGCAGCAGCAAGGATGGGGGGGGCGGCCCACAATTAAGGGAACCACCGTAGGGCAGCCCCTCACCACCGAGAGTCAGGAGCAGAAGAGAAAGCTGAGGCTACACAAACAGGAAGCTCCAAAGCTTGCGTGGGAGGAGGGGATGAGGTGGGGGCCGTTGCCATGGCTTCTGTATACCAAACAGTGTTGGAGGCTGGGTGGGGGCTCCCGGCAGAAACACCCTCTCAACACAGACTTTGAGGTGAGGAGGCTGTGAGCACGGGAGAAGTGGGATCGTCCCAGCAGTGCTCGGGTGTAACCAGGTGCAAGGGATTCCTCCAGGAGGCAGCTATAGTGGGGATGAACAGCATGTGGGGGGAAGATAGGAAATTACCCGTGTTGGGGTGAAGAAGCGGACTCAGGAAGTAGTCGTTCAGGAGAAGAAATTCCCTGGGAAGGGAAAGTGTTCTGAGCTAGAGAACCCACAGCTGAAAATTCTGGAGGGAGAAGGGATGGAATGAAGAAAGGATTGGGGCCAATCCCGGGGTGGGGGGCAGGGGCAGAGGCCTTGGGGTGAGGGAGGGAGTTGCGGTTGGACAAAACCTATTTGTTGGTTCTGGAATGGTAGGGTCCTACTGGACCCGCCCTGCCTTGGCCTCCTCTGCAGTTTTAGGTCTGCCCTTTGCAATAGGGAGGAGAAACTGGGAGGGGGCTGGAGATACAGAGCTATCGCTGTCTGGTGCTTTGGAGTCAAAGAGAACACTGGGGGACCCCCGTCCCAGCCGCAGGTCTTCTACATCGGATCCCACACTCCATCCCCACTCTCACCCCGTTTCTCTCTGCCCCACAGATACCAACTGCTCACAGAACTCCCAAGACACCGGCTCCAGGTAGCCCCAAGAGGCCCAGGGCGCGGGGGTGGGGGGAGGCGGCAGTCCACTTCCGGTCCTGCAGGTCCGGCCTCCCAGCCGCCGCCCCCCCCCACCCCCACGACCACACCCTGGGCCGTTAGAGCAGATGAGTCACTCACCGCCCTCCCGCCGTTGGGGTGACGCAGTGGTCTGGGCAGCCCGCCCGCCCGCCCGCGGCCACCACCGGGTTTCCCAGCAGCAGGGGGCACCCGGTGGGGGCAGCGGCGCTCGGGCTGGGGTAAAAGCAGCCACCACCACCCCGACAACCTCACACAGACAGGGCACCCCGGGGCGCAGTCAGGGCTGCAGCACCCAGACCCCCGAGGTCGGGGGACCGTCATAGAGATGACTGGAGCTTCACAGAAGGTCACTGTGCGACCCATGCGGAGTCCTCTAGCCCCAGCTCGTGACCTCGAGTCCCCAGAATAGCAAGCTAGCAGGAACAGGAATGAAAAGGGCGGCCTCGGGGACTCAGAGGGCACGCAGTGCCCACACGTGCTCCTGGAACCAGGAAGTGAAGGGTCGCGCGGGAAAGCCCAGGAGCACGAGCTGGCCCAGGGCCGGCGCCACGACCCGGGGTCACTCGGGGCCAGCCAGCTAATGTCCGACGCCCTTTTTTCCCCTCGCCCCAGTGAGGACTCGGCGATGGAGCCCGCGGGTGGAGCTCAGTCCCTGAGTCCGTGCTCCGGACGGACGGACGCCCTGTCTATGCATGAACTAACCTCGCCTGACCTCATCGTCCAACAATGTCGGGTCAGGGCTTGGAGACAGGATCTGACAGCACGGGGCGGGGTAAAGTAATCACCGGACCCTTGCCTGGTGCCAGCCCTTGATCCCCGCTGGAACAAGTCAAAAGCGCTGGCTTCTTGGTTTCTACAGACCATGCACATCCCCCCGACTCCCGTCCCTGCGACCTGCTCACCGTTCAAGCGGGCTGGGGAGCGGCGCACTCACGGCAAGGGCTGCAGCTGCAAGTGGTGCGCCCTGCCCAGCCGGGGGTTTTCAGGAGGGTCCCGCCTCAGACGGGGCGGACCCGGGGCGGGGCAAGGGCCAAGAAGGTTTAAAGGCGCCGCAGCGCAGAAGGCGGGAGGACTGCTTGAGACAGAGGGACAGTTGACCCGAGCAAGGGTTAAAGGTTCGGGGAGTCTGGACCTACGAAGGCAGCTGCAGTGGTCTCCACCCGTGAGAACTTCAGCCTCCACCGGGAGCCCGTAGAGTTGTGCCGCAGTAGGAAACTTGCTGCCTAGAAAGTTAGCTGAAGACTGTGGGCGTGTTTATGTGGGAAGAAGCCTCCTAGTTTAGAGGCTGGCAAGGTAAATGGAGGCACAGGAAGGCCTTTCCTCGACCCCAGCTGACTAGTGTGTGACAGGACTGGGACTTGCAGGCCGGGACAGCACCCCCACGTGATCTTGCTCATCTCTTACTTCAAGCCTGGGCAGGGACTAACAGTGAGGTCACTCTTTGCCCAGGGCCCTAGGGGCGTGTTCGGTGTTGGGACCCAGGGTTCAGATCTGACTTCTCCCTGCCTTTCATCTCCTTTTCTATAACCTGGTATCTCTTCCTAAATCCTGGAGGGATCACAGAGGGAGCCCTCAGCGGGAGGAGGCTGGCCAGGGCTCTTTTGTCTCTGAGGGTGGAGGACGGCACAGTTCAGGGATAGAGAGAAAGCCCCCCACCCTTTCAGGCTTCAGTTGAACAGAGTCACCCTGGGTGGAGTTCTTCACACATGTTAGAGTCCTCCCTTGAACCTGAGATTCCAGGATGTCAATATCCAGTCCCGTCCCACCTTTCTATTCTTTGTTCCCTCCCCAAGTCCTACACAGCCCTATATTCCAGTCCCACTGATTGTCAAGCGTTCTCACTCTTCTGTGCCTTTACAAAGGCTATTCCTCTGCCTAGGATAGTTTCCCTTCCTTGACTGGCTCCCCACCTTTACCTGCTGTGTGACTGTTGTGCACATTACTAAAGCATTCTATGCTTCAGTTCTCTGGTCTATAAAACAGAGCTAATAGTACTACCTACTTCATAGAATTGTAGAGAACTAAACAGTCCACCTATAGGACTTAGAGCAGTGCCTGGCACATAATGAATACTACTATTATTATTACCACCATCTGTGAGGGTCCTGAGGACTCCCCTCCAATATGTGGCATTTGGCCCGGAACACGATATTAGCGTTCACTAAATGTTTGTGGCTTTGAATGCAACATCTTCCTTTGTGCTACCACAATAACCAACACATAGCTTTATCACAGAACTTATCACATCATATGGCAACTATTTCTTTACTTGTCTGCCTCACTGACTAGAAAGAACTCAAGGGCAAAGGCATGTCTTCAAGAACCTTATTTTCTCAGTATCTACTTCAATGGCTGGCCTTTAGTAGCTGGCCTCAGTAAGCACTCAATAAATGCTTCTTGAATGAATGCTTAATTGCACCTCCATTCAATTCAATAAGATTTCTCCTCTTCTTTAAGGGTCCAGGGATTCTCCTGGACTCTCTCAAAAGACTGACAACACACAGAAACATCTTTCAAACTTTATTCACCTGTAAAAAACTTCCACACCACACACACACACCACACACACACACACACACGGTGGGGGGGGCAGACTAAGGATCCCTTGTTCCAATCCCCAGACTCACCTAGGGGGTCAGCACATACATTCCATACCAAGGTGACCCAGGCCCACTATCCACTATCAGGGTCTGGGCACCAAAGGGGCAGGCAGGGGCAGTCCTAGGTTGAAGCTAGGTCTGTCTGGTTGGGGGCCTCCTTTGCAGGTCCATATGCCTTTTCCCAGCCTCACATTAGGGGTGTTCACAGCAGAGTGGCCTGTTCGGGGTGAGGGACTGGCTGTCGATAGGCTGGTAGCCGAGCCCTAGTAGCATCTCGGCGGCGGCGGAAGGCCAGGAATTCCTCCCGAAGGGCAGCACAGCGGGCCTCAGGGCCAGTAACATGGGCAGTGTTCAGGAGGCAGCCCTCCTCTGGAGTCTTCACACCTGCAAGAGGCGGGCAGGACAATGAGAAGAAGCCCTGAGGTTCACTGAGTGAAGAGTTCAGATGTGAAGCTCGTTAGGCCCTTCCAGTACAGATGGCCCAAGAGGGCAAGGCACAGTCTAGAGCAGAGGAGCCTGGGAGGCAGGGTCTGACTGGGAATAGATGGGTCCTAAGGTGGCAGGGGGGATGTGGGACAGCATGGCCGAGATGCCTGCCTTTCCCTGGGGCTCACACACCTAGCTCTGGCTCAGCTTCAGGTCTGAGCCGGGAGCTGGCCAAGCCCAGGTGCAACGTCTCCAGCAATTCCACGTCCCCAGGGAATTCTGAGTCCCACTCATAGTTCTCGTCCACAGATGTGTTCCTCCTATTAAAAAAGACAAACATATGGTGTGGGTGGAGGAATAGAAGCTGTTCAGAAAAGTCTGAATTCAGGGACCACAAACCCACATTAGGCCATGGGTTTCCCCTGAAAAATCCCTGGACCTCAGCAAAAGTTTCTAAAAGGAGACAAGGTTTCCCATTCCCAGGGTGGGAGTGGAGCAGAGAAGGTGCAGGGTATTGGGAGAGGGGTGAGGTCTGTGGCAGGACTGAGGCAGAGGTAGGGATGGGCAGGGACTGCTCTCACCTCTTGCTGACTGTCACCACATGCTCCCTTCGGGGCCATCTCTCAGGGCCACTGGCCCAGCTGCTGGTGTCTCCTGGAGCAGGGCTGAGGTAGCTGCCTCCAGCAGAGGGGGCTGTGGAGGGGGGCCGCAGGAACGAAGCGCTGCCTCGCCCGCTGCTCTGGCTGGTGAGGCTGCCTCGAGGGGCAGCAGGGAGAAGGCCTGGCAGCAGCCGCTCCCTCAGTGTCCAGTCAGCCAGGGCTGTGTAAGGGGGTTCTGCAGTGGCCCCAGCCCCTACCACAGCCCCAGGAAGTGATTCCCTGGGGGACACAGGAGGGGTGTCTGGAGGACGAAGGAAAGATGAGGTGGGGCAGCGCCGGGTATCCATGTAATCTGGGGGTGCAGCAGGGCTGGGCTCCTCAAGAGGGGGCCAGTCCCCATCCACATTCATCTCTCGGAAGAAGGGCAGGCTCAGGTACTGGAGTAGGGGTCCAGGACCTGGCAAGGGACTGGGTGGAGCTGCTGGAGGGGGCGCCACAGGGCTGATGTCTTCAATGCAGAGGGGCTGGGGTGCCCCACTGGGGCTGCTGCTGCTACAGTCAAAGGACCGGGCGAGACACTGGGCTGGAGTCCGAGGTTCTGCCTGCTCCGGGCCTGACCTTTCCTGGGGGGCCGCCACAGTGGGCCCCATCACAAAGCGCCCATCTGGGCCCCGGCAAATGGGCTCCAGGGGTAAGGGTCCCCGGCTAGGCGGAGGATCTGGGTGGGGGCTGGGAGTTCCGGCAGGATCCCCCCAGAGCAGACTCTGGCGCAGGCTGGGAACTGGGGAACCCTGGAGCTTCAGCTTGGCCACGCTGTCAGGACTGCCTGAGCCCAGAGCAGAGCTGGGGAAGGACAGGAGATCAGGGTCTGTGGTAGGGGCAGGTCCCCCTCCCAGGAGCCAGCGTCAGGCCTTGAGAGGTTTGGTGAACAGAGCAGAGCTAGGGAGAACAAGCGAGGAAAGGACCAACAAGGTGGAAGGGGTGGAGGGAAGGCACAGGCCATACTGGACCGGCCTCAGGCTGGGGCCACTGCACACCCCTTCTTACCCTCTCCCACTTTTGTTCCTCTCCCACCCCAACATCCCCCTAGTAAAGATGCAAAAAAAGGAAGCAGAGGATACTGGCATGTACAATGGAAAAGCAGAAGAAAGCCAAGGAGGTGGAGGCACTTACGGTGCAGCTGATGTCCCGGTCGGAGAGAAGATAAGAGGTGGATCTGAAAGGGCACGAGAATAATAGGTGACACAGGCAAAAAACCAGGCCCTCCAGGCGCAGACTCTCTCACCCAACACCAGACGCCCAACCCCATCCGGGTGGGAAAAGCGTAGGCAGGACCAGATGCAGGACTAAGAGAATGCACCTGGATCACACAGGAGCGAGGATTTTCCCCCAGGTAGGAGGGGCTTAAGGAGGGGCGGGGCTTTTCGGTGCGCTAGGTCCAAGTGCGCAGGAGGAGGGCTGGGGGTGGAGGGGCTTACCTTGGCGGAGGCGCTTGCGGCGGCGGCGGGCAGCCCTGCGCCGGTTCATGAGGCAGGCGGCCAGAATGCTCACGAGGACGGCCACGCCTAGGAAGCAGACCCCGCCCACCACGCCGGCCAACACAGGCTGGGGCAGGAGACCCGGCAGCTGCGTGCGCGAAGGGTAGACCTCCAGACCTAGGCAGGGGGCCACGAGGGAGGGTCAGTGGACTCGGAGCCCCCCCCCCTACCCGCCAGCCCTGGGGCTCCTCCCTCACGCCAGGTGCTCACCAGAAGTGGAGACGTTGGCCGTGTTGCTGGGGTCGCTGACGTAGCTGCCTGCGAAGGCCACGAGGCGGAACTCATAGAGAACATCCTGCGATGGGGATGGAGTGCCAGGAGGGAGGTCAGGGCCCAGCACCGCCCATCCCAGCGGTGCGCGGAAAGACTGTGCAGGTGGGATGGAAGGGTGAGGTAGGATGCGGAGATGAAGAGCTCAAATCAAGATGAGAAGATAGGGTTTGGGGAATGGAGAAGGATGCAGGAGAGGCCCTAGGAGGCTGCTCCCTATATTGCCTCTCGCACATACCTTGATGAGGCCTGGTACCAGCAGCTCTGTTTCTGTGCCTGCCACAGCTGGGTCCAGCACCTCCCAGCCCTGGGAGCCTTGCCGTCCTTCCAAGACGTAGCCATCCAGTCTCTTAGGGACCAGCTCTGGGGGATCCCAATGCAGGAGTACCCCCCGGGGTGTCCTCACTGCCACCAGACCCCGTGGAGGGGACAGGGGAGGGGATATCTCTGTTGGAGGAAGCCTGGGTGCAGCTGGCGTGGTAGGAAGCCCTGCAGGGGACAGAAAGGCAGGTCAGAGCAAGGATTCCCAGCGCCCCTCCCCTGGCCTTCCACGACCCCAGTGCCCAACTCTTCTCCCAGAGCCCCTGAAGACAAGCTCAAATCATCTTCCACACACCCCTCTGGACCCTAAGCTGGCCAGCACCTCTGCCCCTTCCCACCCAGAACCTCCTATATCCTAACTTTCCTAGCAGCCCTTCCCCATCCTTGTCTCTGCTGTTCTGGGACTACAAGCCTCTCACCTTCAGGAGCAGACAAGACGATTTCGCTGAAGGGACCACTCCCCAGCTTGTTCTGAGCCAGCACGCTGAACTGGTACTGGGTGTGGGGCTGCAGCCCTGGCACTAGGAGGTGAGCAGCCCCCACAGGCACTGCCAAGGACACCCAGTCATGGTGCATTCGGTCAGGACGCTTGGCCCTGGGAGACATGAGGACACGGCGGGGTACCTCGTTAGCTAGGTAGACCAGAAGATCTGGGGTCCAGAGATCTAACCAACTGCTCTCTGCTCAACCATCCAAGGTCTCAGGACCTTGGCCCTGAACCCAGAATCTGGAAACAGGGTAGCAGAGCCAGGACTGGTGAAGGAGAGAGGGACAGAAGACAGGGCAGAAGGCCAGATAGGTTCAAACAGGAGAGGAAAGGAGGCAAGATTGGCGCAGAGAAATGGCAGGAGCAGGTCACTCACAGTGGCGTGTACCAGACACTGAATCTCTGCAGATAGCCACCATCAAAGCCAGGCTCCCAGGAGACATTGGCACCCTTAGGCAAAGGCACCACGGACACATTGGTGACAACATGAGGGCTAGTGCCTGGGCAGGGGGGAATGGAGGAATGGTGGTCAGGGCCTGAGGGAGTGTAGAGTGGCAGGGGCCCCAAGGCCAGTGCCCTTCACCCATCATCATCCCAGGGGTCCCACACCCATGATCCCCTTTCTGGGCCTCCAAAAACGATTCCCATGTAATTTCTCCCAGCCCCTGGCCATCTCTCCAGCCACTAACCCAGCACGTAGACGTTGGTGGAGGCGGCCACTCGGGCCACAGCATTGCTGGCACTGCATTCCCAGTGCCCGTGGGCCTCCTTGGTCAATGGTCGCAGGATGAGACTGCTGTTGCTGTCCACCTGGGCCTGGCCTTGCAGCCCCCGGCCCACCTACAGAACCACTGGTGAGCCCTGAGGACACACGCAGCCACCCCTCACCAAGGGCGCCCCTCATCTCTCCAGGCAGCTCCAGTTCCTCCCCACCCTGCCTCTGACACCCCTCTCCTTCCCATACCCTCCCTCCCACAAAATGGCTGGGGCACAAGAGGCAGGGGTGAAGTGGGCACAGGTACAGGCAGAGCGGGCTCAGGAGCCTTACCTTGGCCCAAGAGACAACAGGAGGAGGGTCCCCTTGGGCGGAGCAGGGGATGAGCAGCTCCCTCCCTACTTCTTGGAAATATTCTTCCTTGGGCCGCTCTATAAAAGCCGGGGGAGCCTGCAAGCCAGGTCTGGCATTGGGAGGGGCCCTCTCTTACATCACCATCTAAGGTTGGCTACTCCCCCTCTCTGTGTTCCTGTCATGCCATGTCTCACCTCACTCTCTCTCACTCCCCCTAGCTAAACACTCACCAAGCCTGTCTCCACCTCATTCTCTCTCCATCTCTCAATTCTTCTGTGGCTCTGTGTCTGTTCCCCAGTGGGTAGGGGCTGGAGGGAAATGGTGGCATAGTAAGGGCTGGCAGGCTTAGGCAGGACTCTCAGTGATGTACAAACTTCTGCAGAACATTCTTCCTCCCAGAGCCCCAGAGAGGGAGGCAGCACGGTCAAGGTTAGTGAGAGTTGGGGTGGACAGGATATCTTACTTTTGGATGTGTGTGACTGATGTCCCACCTCCCAAGCACCACCTCTGCAGAAACCTCTGGAATGGCATCAGGCAGCTGCTGCCGTGGCCACCATGGGAAACAGACTTGGAAACCCCTCCCCATGTGTCTGCCCCGCCCCACCCCCTTCAGCCTGGCCTTAGCGCCATCTCCAGCCATCTGACTCACTGTCACCACAGGCCCCCGCCCACCCCCGGCCTAACCTTGAGCAGCACGCGGGTCACAGGGGAGGGCCCGGCGGTACCAAGACTGTTGTAGGGGGTGCAGGAGTATTCTCCCAGGGCATCCTCGTTCCCCAGGGCGATGATCAATGAGCCTTCTGTGCCCTGGGACCAGCCAGGGAACTGGAAGGAAGAGGAGATGACAGCTAGAGAGAGGAGCTCAGCAGAGACAAGCCCGGGATGGCAGTACAAGAGAGGGGGCAGGACGAGAAACACACAGCTATGCAGAGGACTCCAGCAGCTCCATGTCTAGGCCTGACCCCTCTCCGACTTCCAGCGCTTCCTTTCTCTCCAGCCTACAGAGGGACCCCTCCCAATAGTGTGAGGCTGTGACTGCACAACTCCAGGGGGTGCCACTCACAGAAAATACACTGTGAATGGCCACCCCTGGAGTTGGGCTACATGGGGCTTCCTGCCTGCTGGGACTTCACCTGGCTCCCTTCCCAGCACTCCACAATGAAGTTCAGCGTCTTCCACCCCACACCAGCTCCTATTTCTCTATTAAAGGGCCCACCGTCCTCCTTGCTGAAGTCTGCCTCCGCACGTTCCCTCACTCCCCCAGCGAAATCCTAAGCCAGTCATCCTGAGAGGTCCCTTTTGTCGGGGCATGAGCCCATTCATCTTCATGTTGTCCTCTCTAAATCAGACTCCACAACTCTCACCTGGCCATTTCAGCAGCTTCAGAACCCCTCTTCCTATGTCCAGTATCTCCTGCTACATTCCACTGGATAAGCTCAATCCCTGATCACAGCTCTGATGCTATCACACCAATGCTCAACAAACTCCAGCAGCTCCAACTGCCTGCAGACTTTTTTCTTAAACAGTCAACAAAGATATACTGAGTACTATTGTTGTAGAAGCCCCAGGTACACTACGATGAAAAGATGGCAATACTAGGCCTCAAAAAATTTATAGTCTCTGCAGACAAAAGATCCCAATTGCCTTGGAATGAGGCAATGGTAACCTGGCATTCACAGTTCTGCCTTTTGATGCCAACCTGTCTTTCCAGCTTTCTCTGCACCGTTCATGTTCCTACAGGCACTCCAGCTTCCACCCAATTGGATGATCCATGATTCCATAACACATGATTCCATAAACGCACTATACTACTTCCTGCCTCTTGACCCTGGTTTCTGCAAGGGAATGACTGTCTCCTCTTTGAGGCCCATCACCAGAGTCCCAGAATCTGTTGCTGGTTTAGCCTCAACCACCCTAAAAGAAAGGCATGAGCTCCATCCGTGGCCTTCCAGACAGTGTTGCTGTCCTCTGCCCAGGCAGTGCCCACTTGAAGGATGGATGCCTCCTTGCCCCTGCCCCCAACCCAGTATCCCACACAGCACCTGGTAAGAAGTGTGTGTTCCCCGGGACACACAATTCCCCAATCATCACACGAAAGAACCTTCAGTTCTGCTTCTTGACTCTTTGCCATCATTTCCCCCAGAAATCATCTCTCTTCTTTCCCCAAAGAAGACACAAAACCACCACCTTAAACCATGGAAATTTTTCCTCAGGGGTTTTAAGTAGTCTCCTGTGCAACATGTCTCATAACACAAATTAAATTCACAAAAGATGTGTGTCCCCAGTCACAGAATTGAATTAAACTGAGCTAACTCCACCCTGCTGTCCTGAGCAGAATAACACCAAGCTGTACTGCCCCAAGCCTGTACCTTGTCCAGCTGCAGGGCCTTTCCATCCTTGGTCCAGCTGACAAAGAGCAGTGGGGGGTTGGCACGAACCGGGCAGCGGATCACCCCCGGCATGCCTATGGGCAGGGGCGTCTCAGGAGGCATAGCTGTCACCTGGGCTGGGTCTGGGGGAAAGTAGTGGCAAGTTGCAGGAGAGGGGCTTGGCCTGGCCCAGGGGAAGGGAGCAGGCTGTGGGAGAAGCTGGGGTCAGGAGCTTACAGAGCACAGTGAGGTAGGCAGAGGCTGAGGGTGGATGCAGGAGGCCATTGCTGGGCACACAGGTGTAGCAGCCGGCATCATCAGGCTGGGTGGCCTGCAGCCGCAGGCTCCCGTCCACCAGAATCCGCACCCGGGACTGCAGGCGGCTGCAATGTGGCATGTGTGAGGAGGGGTCCAGGCCTTGCCCAGCCAAGTGGCTCTTCAGAGACTGTGAATTCCCCACCTCCACCCTCCTAATGAGGGTGACCCCACCTAATGTGGAAGACATTGGTGTTGTCCTGGAACCAGCTGTAGGTGAGATTAGCAGGGTATGCCTCAGCGTGGCAGGCCAAGGAAACATCCTGGGAAGCATTGACTGTGCAGTTCTTGGGGGGCACCACGATGACTGGGGGTCCTGTGGGGTGCACAAGGGGAGGAAGGTGGCCTCAGCCCACAGTCTTCCCAGAACCCTGAGGTCACCTCTGCAATCCTTCCCAGCTCTGCCCTCTGGAATCCTAGGGCTCGTTGTTACCGGGCTTTGGGGAACGGAAACAGAAGCTTCCCCCTGTATGTAACAAGAATTCATCCTCTCCCTGAGACCCATTCCTCTTTCCAAATTCTCTCTGTTCCATCAAGAGCAACCCCATTCATGCGGTTCCACTGCCTAGGAATGGTGTGTGTGTTTGGGGGAGTCAGTTTAACTCTGCTCATTTACCATTTGTATCCCTACTTGTCACCTCTTGAATTACTTCTCTGTCTCTGACCCTAACCCAGGTGCCCAATACCTCACCTCAAGATTCTGCAGCAGCCCCTGACTCCAGGCTCCCCTGTGGCTGCCATTCTAATCGCCATTCATACAGAAACAGCCCCTTGAGCCACAGAACACTTCTGCTCAGGAACGTGCAACAGCACCTGGCTCCTACTACACTAAGCTCAAACCCAGCCGTGTGGACCCCTGAGATCCAAACCCTCCCTACCTGGCCAGCCATCTTTCCATGTCAGCCCTCATGAACTCTTTCAGGTCAGTGTGGGCAGCTGACTGTCCCCCATCTCCATGCCTTTGCTCCCTGCACCCCCGGTCTGGAATGTCCCTCCCAAGGGCCTGGCCACACCACATACCTCTTGCAAAAGCACCTCTGCTACTACAGTTCCACTACTTCTTCCCCTCTCTGGGCCGGTACCGCATGAGCAGTCAGTAAGAAGAGGTCATGATGCGAGCTGACACAACAGAGCACTGACTGCATGCGGGACACTGAGTGCTAAGCACTTTACCTGCACGACCTCATTTAATCCTGACCAAAAGCTTGGCGGTGGGAATTGTCTCCATTTTATGGATGAAGAAATGAAGGCTCAGAGGCAGAGAGATTGTGAGGTGATTGCCCAAGGACAGCAGGAGAGGCAACATTCCCATTAGGCTTCCTTATGCCACAGACGACACTTTAACCATTACCCGGCACTGCCTTTCTTACAGTACCATGGACAGCAACACTTTCCTGTTTCCCCAATTAGTCCCACTTCCCCACAAAGATAATAGGCTCTATGAAGGCACCAGTCCAGGCCTTCTACCTCTCAGTTTCCCTTCTAAAGGAAGGATCTTGGCCAGGAATTCCATGTGCCTGTGACTGGGCTCAGCTGGACCTAAGTAAATTCTTGTAACAGACCTGAGAGGTAGACATGAGTCTCTTTATAAAGATGAAGAAACTGGGACTCAAGGAGTTAGCCGGTTCACAGCCTAACACAAGCACCCATGTCCTTTCCACTATAACACACTACTAGGCACTAAGATCGCTTTGTCTGCTTACCGAGCCTTTTAAAATTAAGGTGCTGGTTTCAGAGCGACAGCCTGCATTGGGAGCCCCCTCAGCTTCCACGGGCCCTGCCCTCAGGCACAGATCTTCCTATCTTGCTGTGAACCAATTCAGCCATAGGTCACAGCCCCCTTGCATAGGTAACCCTGGAGCCCAGCCCTCCCGCCAGAGAGCACCTAGCACTAGCAGCTGGGTGGCGTGGGTGGCGCTGCCCTCAGTGCTGGAGGCTTGGCAGGTGTAGACCCCAGAGCTGCCTCGCTCTACCCGGCGGATCCGCAGTGTCCCGTTCTGCACCTAGGGAAGGAGTGGGTGAGGAAGAGTCCTTTCCCCTGCCAGCCTCAGATCCTGCACTTCCGAGGCTGGCCAGCAGAGGGAGGCAGCACCCCAGGCTCGGGGCAAACAATGCCAACCCCCTCTCCTGGCCCATCTTCCAGCCTGGCCTTTGCCTCCTCTGTCCTCTGGCCCCACTGCCAGGCCCCCACCTTCCCTTCACACTCTATATGGCTCATTCTATCCACCCTCAGGACTCACTTGCACCTGGCCCTGGCCCTGGCCCTGGCCCTGGCCAAGGTCCTTTCCTCGGAGCTTCCACGTCACACGAGGCAGGGGGCTGCCACGGGCCACACAACGCAGGGTCACAGGCTCCAGTTCCCGCACTTCCAACACAGCAGGAGGTGTCTCCTGGAATTGAGGGGGCGCTGCAAGGGAGACAGGCATTGGGGCCCCAGAGGGGCTGTCAGCGCAAAGAGCAGTGTCCGAGGGCCAGGGAGATGACTCAGGGCTCCAGCCTGCTGCCCTGCCCACCCACCAGCCCCGCCTCATAGGAATGCTCAGCCCGGGGCCACCCTGTCTGCTGCACCCGGGCCAAGTGAGGATTCTATCAACCCACCCCCACACACTGGCCTGGGGTTGAACCCAGGCTGGATGTCCAGAGCCAGCGGGGAGAGCCACGTCCCCTCGGGAGGAGCACTGTTCTGGGAGTGAGGAGGGCTGGGTCCTAGACTCTGCTCTGCCACTAATCAGTGGCATGACCCAGCCTCACCTATGCAGTGGGAATGATTATGACCTCCTTCCTACTTAGGAGTGAGACAGAAATAATAAGGGCCTGGGTGAAAAGGTATTTTGAAAACACAAAGTGCTATGTGTATGTAAGCTGTGTTTCACTCAGGGCCCAAGAGCCGCCTCTCTCCCACCCACTTCCCTGGCCAGGGAAGCAGGAGGGAAGAGAAAGAGGGAGTTCCTGACACAGAGCCTAGAAGACTGATTGGATTTATATTTGAAGAACTGAAAAGGGCAGGAGTATGGGGGAGGGGTGAGATGCAACTACTAAGTGAGCAAACAAGGACTCTCAGGAAGGGTGGGGCATCGGAGTTGTTTGTGGGATAGAAATAGAACTCCCTCTTCCCCTTTCTCCCACCAGCCAGAGGTCCCCATCCTCCTCCTCCCTGTCCTTCTCCACCACCTGCCCCGCAGCCTCATACAATTGACTGTCAGATGCACCCAGGAGCCGTTAGCAAAATCGTCTTCAGGGATGTGCTGGTCCAGGAAGAACACGCGGCACTCGTACCAGCCCTGGTCTTCCACCCGGAGACCCTCAATCTGGAGAGAGGCCCCCTTCTGCAGCCGGACTCGTCCTGGGGGAGGAGCCCTGAATCAAGGGTGCTGAAGGAACCCCATGGAAGCCCCAATCCCCTGGTCACACTGGTAATTCTTAGAGGTAAGAACAGGCTCAGTCTCTCCCAATTACTCTGAGAGTGTGAGGTCCACAGAGATGCAGATGGGGTTGGGGTCATTCAGGACAGGTCCCTCCATTCAGCCCCTCTGACCGCTCTTGCCGTTCAACAGCTGGGACCCTGTCTACACAAAGAGAAACCAAGGGGACAGCAGGTGGACAAAACCTTCCCCCTGAACTGCACTCGGCGTCCAGGACTGTTGGGGAAGGAGGTGAAGAGCCAGCACGTAGTCTCCTCTGGACTCTTACAGGATCTGGGCTTTTTTTGTAGGGGAAGGTGTGAGCTCCTGGGAGTACTCCTGATAGAGCATTGTTTCCCTGAAAACCTCAGCAGTGTTTGAGGCCCTAGCAGGGGAACCCAGACCCCGCCTGCCAAAGCCCCTAATCCCTCAGGGCTATTATCAGCAGCCTAAGCGCCTTAGGGTGGCCAGAGTCCAGCCCGGCAAGCAGCAAAGTCAGCAGCCTCCTCGCCCCATCCTTTCCATGCCCCGGGGCACTCAGACCCCAGCGGGCTGACCACATACAGTTCCACAAAGCCACACAACCACAGCACAACCAGACACCTCAACCCCGCTCTTAGTCAGCATCCACACCACACTGCCAGGCTCAGCCCGAGGGTGCCTACCCAAGCCCTCAGCACCCTCCCTGGATGCAATTGTGCACCCCAAACGGCTTCATGGGTCCCTGGCAGTGTAGCCTCGTGATACAGGCACACACTTGGGAGCCAGATAGACCTAGGCATGAGTCCAGCTCGACTGTGTACTCTTTTGGGCAAGTTACTTAACCTCTCTTACCTCATCTGTAAAAAGAAGAGAAACAAAATTAAGGTGGGGTAGAGGAGAGAAATAACGTAGGGAAGGCATGTAGCATGGTGCCTGGTATCACTGGATGCTCAAATAAAAGTTGTTGAACAAATAAATGAGGTCTAGATTTGAAATCAGAAAGCTGCACTTAAGTCCTGGCCCTGGCCCTAAACTGATCACACATCATCTTCCTTTTCTCTCCCTGCATCAGTGAACAGCACCACCACACACCAAGTTACCTTATCAGGAACCTGGCATCTCCTAGATTCCTCAGTTACCTCCCATATCTACTTGCTCATTAGGTTTTTCAAATCCTACCTCCTAAACATTTCCCCTTCTCTGCTGTCCTCACCTTTACACGTGTGGCGTGTCTCACCTGGGTTTCTCCAACAGCCTACTTGCAGGTCTCCCTGCCTCCAGCCTCCTCCCCTCTACATCACATTGCTCATCCCCACCTTGACCTCCGCTGTGAACAAATGGAACTTTCTTTTTTTTTTTTTTTAGAGACAGGGTCTCACTCTGTTGCCCAGGCTGGAGGGCAGTGGTTTGATTGTAGCTCACTGCAGCCTCGAACTCCTGGGCTCAAGTGATACTTCTGCCTCAGCCTCTCAAGTAGCTTGTTTACAGGCAAGTGTCACCATGCCTGGCTAATTGTTTAACTTTTGAAGACAGGGGTCTTGCTATGTTGCCCAGGCTAGTTTCAAACTCTTGGCCTTAAGGGATCCTCCTGCCTCAGCCTCCCAAAGTGCTGGGATTAAGCTGTGAGTCACTGTGCCTGGCTGCATTTTCTTAATCTTATGTTGTATGCAAATGTTGCTCCAAGTCCCTTTGCATAGCGTCCACCCCAGCTCTTCCTAATACTAGAAATTCCGAAGCTGTGAATGTGCTCAGCCCCTGCAATTTGCTTCCATTCTACCTCTAGAGTGATCTATTTCAGAAAGAAGAGAAAAGAAGGATCAAGTTGAGGCAGGCTTTGTGATCTTAGGCAAGAGTCTTTTTGTACTTAGAATGAGTTCCAGGGTGTGGATTCTCTAGGATGGGTGGACCTGCTTAAAGGGCTAGGTGTTGAAATCCCCACCCGGGAGATAAGACTAGGCCTAGCGGGTAAATATTTAACATAATCATACCCTTCTACCTACTGTCAGGATTCCTCAAGAAGGCTAATCTGCCTGGCTGCTGAACCTTGCAGACCCCAGACTGCAACCTCTTCTATGTCCCACATGACACTTTTCATTATTGTGATCTTCTGGCTCCACAAAGAAGGAAGAAGAGGGAAGGAAGATTGAGTGTGGAATACGGGCCATGTAATATTAGGCGTTGTCACCATATTTAATCCTCCCAAGAATTCTATTGTAGCTTAAGGAATTAAAATGTTAAGTTTCTTTCCAAAATCACATGGCTAGTAAGTGACAAAGCCAGGCTTCTTTCTCCAGACGCAGCATGCTTTCCATGGACACGGGTGTTAGGACAAAGTGCTGTTCAGGGCACTGGGTGTAATCGGTATATTCTCACTTGGGAGATGCTGGTAGCCAATAGGTAACAGTGCAAATGTTACTGAGAATATCCAAAGAAGCATACTGCGTGTCCTAGCTTTTCTGACAGTTGGACTGCTAGACCTGTAGTGTTACAGAGGAACAGGAAGATCTCCGGCAGGGCAGCCCTGAGTCCTCTTGAGTCCTGGGCCCACCTCCTGGAGGCCTCCCTCCACCTGCAGGGCTAAAGCCTGTTGACTTCAGATCTTCCCGTATGCAGGGGTGTGTGAAGAAAACAGGAGACACAGTCTCCGCTCTCTTGAGCTCTCGGAAGGCAGGGAACCCACAGTCACCTAAATGGGCAAGTTCATGTCCACACATTCACAAAGAAGTTCAAAAAATGGTGCTAACTGCACCCCGACATTGCACTATGAAGCAAGAGGAGCAAGGAAGGCTTCTGGGAAGCTGTGACTGGGCAGAGGGTTAAGAATAAAAGGTGGTGAGGGGAGGTGACTAGAGCAAGCAGGGGAGTTCTAAGTGGAGAATGAGGTCACTGATTTTTATCAAACAACTCAGGGCAGAGAAAAAAATGCACGTCCCTTCTGCTATGTGGGGCATCTTGAAAATCCCAAGAAATACAGCACAAAAGTCCATCCCGCCATTTTGATGAGTTGGTCTAAGATCCACCTTAGGAAAGCTGGTGTCGACTAAGCCTAACCTTCCTTCCGGAGGCCTGGTCATGGGTTCACACCACATAGGCACTGTACGGGCACAGGCCGGGACACTTTACACACGGCAGCTAACTGAATCCTACTCTTTAGTCCTAGCTTGTTTTGTATTGCTTTCACTCCATGGCACTCGTTGATAAATCCAGTCCCCTCTGCTAGATGCTTCTAGAGTCCTCAAAGATGGGAATCCTTCCCTTCTGTGTGGTCCCTAATCCTCCAACAGTCTCTGTCAGGGTTCCGCACACATTCTAGACCACCAGCCCCACAACAGTCCCTGGCCCATCTCCCCTTCACTGCCCAGAGGGTTTATGACAGAAGAGCATTGTCCTTAGCAACCTCTACCTTCTGTTGCTTAGCAACTGCAGTTCCGAGTCCCCTACACAAAGGCTGAGAGGCCCCTTCCACACTGTGAGGCAGTAAAAGGGCTAGTGGGCTCAGGGGTCTCCCTCAGGTCTCAACTCCCTCGGCCAGAGGGCCCGACCAAGAGCTCCAGACTGAGGTAGGGGTGTGAACAAAGGATAGGAATAGAGAGTAAGTCCCAGAGGCTACTGCTCACAGCCCCTGCAATTCAAGCAACAGCACAGACAGAAGGAAGACCCACAGGTAGACAAAGTTGCTAACCATCCAGTGGCTTCAGGCCTGAGGGACCTCAAGGCAGGACACAAGCTGGAGAGAAGGAAGAGCTTCAAGTCTCCCTGGTGGAGTCCCAGGAAAAGCCCCTCTCTCTTCCGCCTCCCCTTGCTTTGCCCTCAGTCAGGCAACATTTTGAATCTGTCCAGCCTCAGCCCGGCAGCCCAAGACCCCTCCCAGGCCCGAGCAGGCGGAGGCAGGGAGGGAGGGCTGGTGGGTACAGCCGTTTTTTCTCCACTGGTGCTAATTGGGGCCCGCTTTCATCCATTCCCACAGGGCTTGTGTAGACACATACACTCCCACCAGGCTGTTTGCCAATAACTGCCCCCAGTTTGAAAATAAACTTCCCTTCTGCATCACCTGCCTGCACCTCCTCCCCTCTCCGCTCAGCTCGCCCTGTGGCAAGGTTCAGCCAATCCCAGGGTTTCCCTCAAGATTCAAACTAAAGAGGGAAAAGGTGGGGGTCTCCCCATCAAAATCCTCCCAGGTGGCCTTTCCTGGGTCTCCCCTCTCTGAAGAGGAGGCAACAAGACTCTCTCTCAGCCCTAGCCCAGACCTGTCCTCAGGGCCTCCTGCACACTGCCCTCTGAGACCTGGCACTAAACCGCTTAGATTAAGACTCCATCCGGATTAGGAGGAAGCAGAGCCATTGTAGCCATTCTAGGGAGCCAGCTGGGGTGCAGCAGAAGGCGCCCAGGGAGGCTACACACGATTTTAAGTCCCAACAGGTGCCACCTAAAGCAGCAACCCAGGCCAGCCCCATTCAGTCACTGACCTTTGGGGAACCTGGGCCCTCCCCAGCCACCCTCTCCGTACACCTGTGCTTCTCTACTCAGAAGCAGGCTGAGTGCCCCTGGAAAAGCAGAGAGGTCACAGCCGCACCCATCCTGCTGCCCCATCAGCCCATTCCCTAGAAGACTTGAATCCCTGAGCTAGCATTTAAGGTGATGGGGAAGGGGGAGAGGGCAGAGGAGTGAGCAGGTGGTAGAGCCAGGACCAAGGTAGGGCCAAATGGGGAGACTACAGATCAGGATGAAGTCTGGGAGGTTTCATGATGAGATCTAGAAAAAGCAGTTACAAAATTAGAATGGATACTTGGAATACGGCTACAGGATCTCCTTTGGAACAGACCACGTGGAGTCCTAAATAGCACAGCTATAATAGTGAGTGTGAGTGTGTGTGTGTGTGTAAATGAATGAATCTTTCAATGAATTAACACTGCTTGGGAGCACAACCATGCTTGTTAAGCAGAGTTAAGGCAGCAGGGCTGGAGATGAGATCAGGGCAGGGACAGAGCAGTTCACAGGAGGCCTTGCCCAACTCTACCCAGTCCACCTTTCTTGCTGATACCTGCCTACCTCCCACCTGAGGAGAACTCTTACCCACGTAATCAGGGTCAATTCTGGGAGAGTAGAGGCCGAACTGGATGAAGATGGGAAGCAGGAATCCAAAGCGCAGCCACTCGATGACATGCAGGGGGGGCCGGCCGGCCGGGGGCAGCAGGTCACAGCCCAGCACCACACTCTCCCCAGCCCGGCCCACCACCGATACCACCTCAGGCTTCCCTCGACCTGCATGATGGGTGGCATGAGGGCACAATGGGGGGCCAGGGTCAGTGCTGGGAGGGGAGGTGCCATCAGTATCTCTGTAGGCACCTTAGGACTTTGGGTGACTGGAGAAACCCCCAGTTCAGCTTCTCCAGAACCAGCCCTATTCCTCCCCTGCCCTCACATGCTCAAAGAGGAACCCTTGAGGAACACCCCCATACCCACCCCAAGGCTAACAGGGTGTTCTTGAGCCCAGGAGTCGAGCTTACCGTCAGCCCCCTGGCTGATAACCAGGCTGAGGACGGCCAGGCCGAGGCACCACACCATAGCCCAGCTGGCCTGCTCGTCCAGCCCCTCCTATCCACAGGGGCCCAGATGGAGGGGCCAAGGGATGTCCTTCTGATCAGCTCAGGGAACAGGTTTCAGCTCTCACTCATCTGTACAGTGAGGGCTTGGCTCATGTAACACCCGAGGAAGCTGCTTTCCGGAGAACCACCAGATCTAAATGCAAAGTGCAAGGCAACATGCAGAGTTGGCCAATACTGGAGACCAGAAGAAACCCCACCATTAGAGAAAGGCACTGGGAAGAGAAAGGAGGGAGGAGCGTAAGTAAGTGGAGGGTAGGGGGAAGGGGGGAATCTTGAAGCCCTGAGGAGTAAGAGCAGGAGTAGGAGTACTGGGAGAATGGTGAGTGCTGAATGCAGAGACCAGAAAGGTGAGGAAATAGGGGAGGTTGGGAGAGCTGGGAAGGTCTTAGGAAATGCGGAAGGATTCTGGGGACGCCTGCTTTCTGAGAGTCTTGAAAAACTAAGCCAGAAGAGAACTGGGGTTCCTTATATACTTGGAAAAAGATTTTTGAAGGAAGTATGGTAGATCAAGACTTCCATGGCCCAGCCTTCTCTTGCTTCTTTCCTTACTCTTGATGCTTACAAGGTATAGCAGCAAGATGGAACCAGTGCTGTCACCTTCACCTCACTGTGACAAATAAGGGCCCTGAGGATCTCTGTTCAGAGGCAGAGAGCCAGTCAAGGGCAAATCCAGGGCCCTTAACCCTCAGAAAGTGGTCCCCAGGACACCCCCATACAATCCCTTGCCCTATTTCCCCGGTTTCTATGAAAAACTCTGGAAGCTGGGGACCCAAGGCCTTTCTCCATTCA